TCATGGTGCTACATTTGGAATCTTTATAATGCAACCAGGAAAGGTCAGGATGCTTGCTTTCCACAGCAAGATTATTTACTCATTAAAAATTAAAATACATTGTTCATTTCAGGTGGTGGGCTGGATGTTATTATTACCCATATGTCCAATTCAGTAGTACAGAACTAAAACAGCCTTGCTGGGTAACATTTCTGAGGTCATCTGTGTTGGACTCTTTCATACTTTCACTACTATTAACTCCTCATTCCTAATTTGTTAACATCAAAAGTATTGAAAACTTACAGATATCAATATGCAAAGATAATGAAAATTTAGATTTGTGCTAGAGACGGAAAGAAGTTTTTTCATTTGGTTTTCCTTTTATTCAATAAACATTTACTTGACATTAGCTATATACTAAGAATAGTGTGGGCCCTGGGGTTGTGAACATGAATAAAACATAGTCACTTTCCCTGAGGAGGTCATAATGTAGTATGGAATAGACATATGAACAAACAGTTACAATATTATAAGATATTCATAATAAAAGTACAAACAAAGTGTTGTGAGAAGACTGAAGGAAAAACTGAAGAGTGGCTGGGAGAACATTTCCTCACTTAATGGATGCTGTGTGATAATGAGACAATAATGAATGGAACAGTATATTTTAAATGCTGGAAATGAGCATCTGGAAAATGAAAATAAAATAAAAACACCATTTTCAATAACCTTAAAGAAAGGTGTGAAAGAACTATACAGAGAAAATATGTAGCAAATGTAAAATACCCTTCTTTGTAATTTATTAATTTCTTTCAAATAGAATTGCTTATTTAAAGCAAAAATAATAGCAATCTGTTATGGGGTTTATAAAATATGTATAAATGAAATATATGACAACAATTGTTCAAGGGACCAGAGGAAAAACTTGAAATATACTATTATAAGTTTCTTAAACTGTATGTGAAATAGAATAATATTATTTGAAGCTAGATGACTTAAAAATGCAGGTCATAAACTCTAGACAACCCACTGAAAAAAGTATAACTAGTAAGCTTTTATTTATTTATTTTTAAAGACTTTATTTATTTATTTGACAGACAGAGATCACAAGTAGGCAGAGAGGCAGGCAGAGAGAGAGAGGGGTGTGGGGCTCAATCCTGGGACCCTGAGACCATGACCTGAGCCAAAGGCAGAGCTTAACCCACTGAGCCACCCAGGTGCCCTACAATAAGCTTTTAGACAAAATAAAATGGACAACAAAAAGATAATTCTTCCCAAAAAAGACTGAGAAGGAGGAAAAATAGAATAAAGAATACAGGGGTAAAATACTAAACAAGTAGTAGAGTGGTAGGCTTGATCTCAGCAATATCCATATTTACTTTAAATGTGAATGGACTAAATACATCTCTTAAAAGACAAAGATTATCAGCATGTCCTCACTTCTATTCAACATTGTATTGGAGTAAGCAATTACTAAGTAATTGGAGTAAGCAAGGAAAAACAGATTAGAGAGGAAAAAGGAAAAACTATCTTCACTTGCAGACTTTTCTGTGTATAAGGAAAATCCTAAACAACCTATAATATATTTACTGGATTTAATAAATGAATTTAGTAGTGTGATAGAATGTAAGGTCACTTACAAAAATTAACATTATTTTTAAAAATAAGTATTTAGGAGGGACACCTGGGTGGCTCAGTTGGTTGGACAACTGCCTTCGGCTCAGGTCATGATCCCGGGGTCCCGGGATCGAGTCCCACATCGGGCTCCCAGCTCCATGGGGAGTCTGCTTCTCCCTCTGACCTTCTCCTCGCTCATGCTCTCTCTCACTGTCTCTCTCTCAAATAAATAAATAAAAATCTTTAAAAAATAAAAAAAATAAGTATTTAGGAAATGGAAATTAAAAATATACCATTTACATTAGCATAAAATATAAATGCTAAAGAATAAACTTAAAGAGAAACATACAAGGTTTATACACTGCAAATTATAAAACATTCCTGAGATAAATTAGAACTAAAATAAGTGGGAAAAATATAATAATTATGGATAAAAACACCTAATATTGTTAAGATATCTTCTCAATCAAATTCCAGAAAGTTAAAAAAAAATTTTTTTTTGAAGTGTCAGGCTGATTTTAAAGTTCATGTGGAAAGGCAAAGACCTAGAAGGGTCTCCCAAATAAAAAAAAGAAAAAAACTTGGAGGACTTACCTAATTTGAAGAACTTATAAAGCTCAGTTAACGAGACAGAATGATACTGGAGTATTACATAACAGAAAGTCTAGAAGAACAAAAGTTCCAGAATTTCTCAATTCGGTAGTTTAATATTGTCATCAAGCACAGTTTCTTCTATCTTCCTGCTTAATCCCTTGGCATTTCTCTTCAAGATCATTTCCCATTAATGGCTATTATGAATGTTTTGGTTCCAGGCATTAGTGCCTACAAAGCAATGGTCAGCAAAAGAATAAACAACCACTAGTTCTTTGTGTCACTTGAATTTTTTTCTATTATAAAATATTTGACATATCAAATAGTATTTCATATATGTAGGCTTTAAAAAATAATAATGAAACAAACATGCAAATTGAAGAAGTCGACATGAATCCTTGAACTTTATTACTCATATTAATATCAGTAGGTACAATATCAACATTCATTTCAATTTCTTAGGCCCCAACCCCACAGGATGATTCAAACAAAGTCAGATGACTACTGCATATACAGTGGGTTACATTATAGAAGAGGAACTGGAAGCGTAAGGAACCCAAATCTTTATAATTGGCAGTTAGCGTGGCTTGCCCCAAAGGGACACCTTATCTTTATTATACAGGAGAGTAATCAAACCTGCCCTTTTCTCCATAGGGAGATACTATCTCTCTCTTCCAAGATTGTTTGCTATATAATTATCCTTGAGAAGATAGTCTGGAATAAAAACAGTCAATGCTTCTGTTTTCAAGACATGCAGAAATGTGAAAAGACCTAATTAAAGAATTGTCTTTCAACAGAGGTGTGTTTCCTCCCCACTCTCTGCCCCACATATTTATCATGCATGTTTCAGCATAATTTAATGCATAGTTTCTTCTTTCCCCAAACATCTGAAATGCAGACTTTAACATAATTAAGATTCCATGTATATATGTTTCTATTTTTGGTTCTTTATTAATTTATAAGCCTATCTTTGCATCATTCCCACATACGTTTACTTTAGCTTTCTACCTTTTTAACCTCCACAAACATCTACTTTGTTCTTCTTCGGGAATGTCTTGTATGTTCTTGCCCTTTCATTCTTTCTTAAATTTAAAAAATCTGCCATATTCCTATATATTTTTTCTTGCAGTGCAGACCTTCCTTCTGAAATTGTATTGCTGGCTCTCCTATAGTTTGTTTAAAACTTCCTCTATTGAACAAACTTGAGAGTTGCTGGAGGGAGGTAGATGGGGGGGAATGGACTAGCTGGGTGTTGGGCATTAAGGAGGGCACTTGTTGATATGAGCACTGGGTGTTATATGTAAGTGATGAATCACTAAATTCTACTCCTGAAACCAATACTACACTAGATGTTAACTAACTTGGTTTTAAATAATAATAATAAAAAAATGCTGCAACCACTGTGACTATACCTCATCAAATAAAACAAACAAACAAACTTCCTCTACTAAGCTCAGTGTGGGTGTCTTCAATGTGACTTCCCAGCATAGATAGGTTCTAAGCTTTGTTTCCTGAACTCTGCACGCTACTCTTTAAAAGCTAAAGTTCTCATCTTCAGATACCAGTAGATTGCCTGGGGCCAAGTGGCAGCTTTAGCTCATTTACTTCTCTGCACGAAATCTTTCTCATTGTTTCCAACCTCTTAGAATTTTTCTTTTCTTTTCTTTTCTTTCTTTCTTTCTTTCTTTCTTTCTTTCTTCTCTCTTTCTTTCTTTTGGCAGTTTAGTTGTGCATTAAAAATATATTTTGTATATTTCATCTAACTTTTTTAGGAGCTTACACTGAAATTGGTTTTCAGGATACCTAATAATTCCTCTTGTCAGACACAGAAGTCTTGTGTCAGTGTGGTTTTAAAACTGTTTAACTCACAGAATTGTGTCTTGCACACAATAAACATTCAGTAAAGTGTGCCTAACTCACAGAATTGTGTCTTACACACAATAAACATTCAGTAAAGTGTGCCTAATTGAACTGAAAAAGGTTTCAGTTGGTTTTCTCTGATGCTGCTTCATCATACTCAAATGACTTAATACCTAATTTGGTATTACCATCATTACATGATTTTATTCTCTCCTTAAGAAAATATTGATTTTATCCTCTCCTTTGCAAAATTAAAAAATATTTCAAAAATACAGAAAAAATAATATAATGGAAATCTTTGTTCTTAACTACCAAAACTAAATTGATGTTTACATAGTGCCCATTCTTTTCAGTCCTGGTTTTATGATTGTATAACAAAACAATGTACATAATTTTGTATATTTAAAAATTTTATAATAATAATACAGTGATCTTCATACCCCTTTGGAACTTGCTTTTTCTCCACTCAACATCATGTTTGAAAAATTTATCTATGCTGATACATTCAGCTCAAATTCAATTATTCCACATCCTGTATATAATTCTATTATCCATTATAGTTTATTTAAAAGTCCCTTTATTCTATGATAAAATCCTTACATATATGCTCTTGAGCATGTGTTTGGGATTTTTAAAGTTAGATGCCTACAATGGAAAGTACTATATAATAGGATGTTCTAAATTTTAACTTATTAAGTATATATCCAGTTCCTTATATCTAATCTTTATGATTATGGTGGTATTAATCATTATAAAAATAAGATATTCTACCTTATTTTATCATTTAGTGTTTATGATTTATGAAAAGTACCTAGCACTAGTCAGGATACAGATTATGCTAAACATATGTAATGCATGACACTTGTATTTAATTCAAATTACATTAAAGTTTATACTATTAAATAATGAACAATTAGGTGATTTGGAAATTCATGCCCCCCCTTTTTCTATAGGTATTTATGAGCCTCCATTTATTGTACTACTGCAGTGAACCAACCTTGGATGTGAAAATTGCCTTTTGTCAGGTGTGTGTTCCTTACAGGTAAAACAAGGTACAGTATATTCCCTTGTATTTCCATTTGCCATTTTAGCTTGCATATGTGCCACATCAAATTAGTGTTTATGCAGCATTAAAAATAACTTGGGAATTAGAAGTGGATAGTTACATGTTTTTTTCTTTCTCAGTTCACTTAAGTGAGAATGAGAATGAAAATAATTCTTTTTAATGGTTATAAATTAATCACTGGGTAAAGTGATTTCTTACTAGATTTAATTTATACTTAATGACAGTAATGTCTTTTCTAATACTGGAAATATGGCTTGAATCATCAAAATAGTGAAAGTCTGTATTATTATTTTTCATTGTAAGGACTGATGAGCCCTCTGTAGCAGATTTCCAATGCCCTCAGATAATAACATCCCAGGTGTTCTCAGTTGGTTTTTGATGCCCGGTGCTAACCAATGGTTAGTAAAAGGGTAAACAAGAAGAACAGGAAATAAAGGTATAGAAGGTAGTATGCATGGAGCAGAAAAGAGGCTGCTCTCCTGTATTCATACATATTCCATTCTTAAGAAAGAGGCTACGTGGGGTATTCCTACTACAGGTATTTTTAGGGTAATGCTAACTTTAATCTGTTGTTATGGTATTAATTAATAGTGTTTCCTTTTACTCTCAGGATTATTCTTTGGATAATAAATTATAGTAACTTTATTCATGATCTAAGCAAAAAGCAATTCAGTTTTTCTGTACTGATTTTCATTGTTATCCTCTCATTGAGTGGTGCTGTAAACAGGGAGTGACATGCATCCTTTGAAACAAGGTCTAAAAAATAACTCTGCACCTTCTATTACTTTAAAACAATCTTTTCTGTTTCTGAAAGTAATATGTGCTTGTTGCAGAAAGTGTGAAAAAATAAAAAGTGAAACAAACATTGGCAAATCTATTCTCTCTTGGCCTAAGTAGAATCTCTATAGACAAGTAAAATGTGTTACAGGCTATGAATAGGATTTACTGATCTGATCTGCCTCAACTCCCTGACCTCTAAATGTCATAGTGCTGGAAGCCTCAGGCATTTAGATAATTTCTCTTCTGTAATAAGAATTCTGGAACTGGACAGCCTTGGTTAGAAACTCTATCACTTATAGCCATTTACTTACGACCTTGGGCAAGTTACTTAACCTCTCTGTGTTTTAGTTTCTAAATTTGTAAAAAGAGGAAAAGAAAAGTATTACCTTCTAGGTTATGAGAATTAAATGAGTTAATACTTGCAGAGCAATGAGAACAGTGCTGGAATATGTTTATTAAATAGCTGAATAGATTTTAAATAAATTTACCTTCATTCTTCTGGTGCTCCAATAGAGTCCCTGTTTTAAGTATTATCAGTATCTTGACTAACTTCATAGTTTTCTCTCCAACCCAAATCTCTCCCAGAACTGGACCATGTCCAACTGCTTGTTCTGTGTCTCTGCTTAGATGTTAATAGGCATATCAAATTCTGCATACACCAAACCAAATTCCTGATCTTTTCTCCAAAATTACTCTGTTCTAATTCAGTAAATGCTAAATTCACCTTTCCCAGTTGCTTAGAACAAAATCTTTGGAATCATCTTTGGGGCAGCACTTCACATTCAATTTGTCAGGAAATACTATTGTTTGTACATTCAAAACATATCTGAAATCTCACCATTTCCCAACATTCTCTCCACTACCACTTTGATCCAACCTACTTAACCTCTTGCCTGGATTGTCACCAGAGTTTCCACATTTGCTCATTCCCAAATGGTTTACTCTCAAACATCAAGAAGAATAATATTTTGAAAAGTATAAGTGAGATCATGTCACTCCTTGGCCATAACCGAAGCAAAAAGAAAAACCTTTCGATGTCTTCCATTTCACTTACAGTAAAAATCAAAATTCCTAAAATAAATACCCTAGCATTTACCGCTTAGCCACCTAGAGGCCCCCTCCCTGAAGTGCTCTTCCTTTATTTTCCTCTTGGCCTACTCTACCACTGTCAGGGCTTTCTTCAAATGTAACTTTTTAAGGGAATCTTTCTTGACTATCCTATTTAAAATTGCCCCTTCCAACCTACACTGCCTACCCAACTTCCCAGCCTTTCTTTTTTTTTCCCCTCCGTAACACTTTTTGGTAGCTGATAAACCATATATGTGACTGGTATGTTGCTTCTCTCTCTCTACTCCAATGCATTTTTCACATGGGCAGGAGCCAACTCACACGGGCTCACAAGAGTTGATTGTGCACCTCTCTCCCCAACTGAAAAGTTCAGTGATGTGAGGTTGGTGGATGGAAGTCTGTTATTATAGAAGCGTGTATATTATGTAAATAAGCAATTACTATGATAAGTCTCCTCCCTCCAAATGTTGAACATTTGCCCAGCACACTGTTGGAATTTTGCACGTGGCATGGTGTAGACTTTCACTGGATGTTTACCTAATGAATCAATGAAGGTATATGTTTGGTTTAGGTAATCAGTTACACCTGTGGCTGTGCTTTGGTTGAAAGGAGCAGGACTGAATTTCTGGGTAAACTCTCTGGGTCCTACCACTTGCAAGCAATGTGACTGTGTGCTATTTCTTTTCTTTCTTTTTTTTTTTTTTTTTTAAGATTTTATTTATTTGACAGAGAGAGATCACAAGTGGGCAGAGAGGCAAGCAGAGAGAGAGAGAGAAG